AGAATATCAGTTTTTCTGCATAAAAAAGGTACACCGTAAAGCCTTTAATTTAGAAACGCTAACGCAACGACTGTTCAGGCTCCAAATTATTCGGGAATAAGAAACGTTTCTCAGAACCCTATATACCTAAAATGTAAAGCTGACGCCATTCGCTGTCAGACGATTAAAAGAATGCATTTTCGGTTCTTGTTATTGATTACTCCGCATAGTCTCGACTAAAGTATTGCTAAGTTCTACTCATTTTTTGAAATCTGCATACCACTTTATGCATATTACCCATTATATGCTTGAATGCAGAGAAGAATGGAATTCACTGTTCGCTCGTCTGGAGGTTATTGTGACCTGGTCTTATACATGATATTCGTTTAACAAAAAAGTACCTTGCGTGGCTGCATTAAAAAATTGAAAGTAAGAACGTCCGATACTCGTAAACCTAAAATAAAACGTTCGGCATATCCCTGACACTCCAACCTTAACCCTAGCCTAAACAATTACTCCAACCCTAAATTTAAAACCTAAACCCAAACTTCATCTTCACCTTGGGCCTGCCCCTAGTCTTGGCCACATAACTGATATTGACGTAAGATTTATAAAAAGGTCGGTTGTAAGGCCCATACTCTGAGTCAGTTTTGGTGCTAATATTACTGATTAAGATATGTTTCCCTTGCTGTATAACGTCTTCTACAATATGTTAACTAAATACTGTAGATGTGCTAACTCATGCATTGTTAGCCAATATTCTAAAATGCATATATTGTTTCGGAAAAAAAATACTTACGTATGGTTTTAAAATTAAGCATTTTACAGCATAAATCTACAAAATCTCAGTTACCCCGGAAAGCCGGCTTTCGAGTGGGCATCTTATCTGCTACATGCAATAATAGCAGTTTGTAAAAATGGCTACTTATGCAGCATGCATTTTCTTTTGATGCCCTTAAATATTGATCACATTTTGCAAAAAAATACAAAAAAATATTCACTGTTTTACTCCTTCGGTAGACCATTACGTCTTCTTTCAATTTAAAGCTGGAAGGAAAAGTAGAATTCGGTTTCCAAAAAGCGTTCCAACCCGCGAATAAATTTTAACACGACCTGCCGTTACACTTGCATCTAAGGTTTCCGAACTGTAAGCCGTACATTTTCAGCGTACTGAAAAAAATATATTTCACTATCATATTAAGAGTATACCATATGGGTTCATAACATTTAACAGTAGATTTGAGCCAAATTTTAAACCTCACAATACGCATGAGTAACTGCATAGACACGACGTTTTATGAACAAGCATTTCATGGCATTAAACAATCTCACAATCAAAAATTTTTTGAAACCGAATTATAGCCTTCGCTTGAGTATAAAATTGCAAGAAAACGTAATTGTCTACCAAATGAGCAAAAGTATAGATATTTTATGCATGTTTTCCATGAAGTATAATAGACTTGTTAAGGTCATTAAAAACGAGCGAGAAAAATTTATGGACACATTAATCTGTCGATCTTTCTCGAATGCACTCAAGGCGTGATCGTGCAAATAGCCAACAGGATTACATTGATTTTCAGACAGTTGTTTGTCGTATTTTAACAAGTAGTTCAAAAAGGGAAACTCAAGACCACAAGTGCTCGCAGGCTGAAAACAGCACAAAATAAGTGAACACTAATAATATTCAAGAAATTGACAGATAACCTAGCATTGGAGGCACAGTTTGTAGTTTAAAAAGAAAGAAATGCGATTTATGTGAGACTAATAATTTTTATGCATCACGGAACCACTAATTTGGCGTAATTAACTAATGGAAACAAGTTCGACAAGGATTATACTAATATAGTGATTATCACTATACTACTATATTACCATATATAAGCTAATCTTCAGGGAACGAAATAAAATAGACGTAATTTAAGGACTGCTAAATTTTCGATTTATTATTTATCTCTGTCCACCGATATTTGTATTAAAATTATGGAATATCCACATTATTACAGAAATGGACTTTGATGTTCAAATTGCTACAGAATGACGTTTTTGGGTATGGGGTATAGCGAAAGGTGTAAGTACCTGGACTAACATAGTTTGTGCCAGTCCACAATCCGCAAACGGATTCGACTACCTGGCACAGTGGCAAGTCGTATTTTGACAAAGTCATTGGCTTCAGAACCTTTTTTGCGGCCACGGCATGGAGATAAGCATCAGCAATTTCAAGGACATCTACGCAAGACCGCTATCTTTACGGCACGCCTGATGACAAATGTCGCAAACAAGCGTTGAAAACAACGACGAGACCGAATAAATGGTCATCGCTGAGACCTCTCAGCTCAGACCGCTGAGCGGTCAACGGCGGTTACACGGAACCCCCCTGTGCGGGCGTACAGAGGCTGTGCAGATGAGTCAACAAAAGCCCACCTGGACTCGCGTCCTCTGGCTTTGTCAGTACGTTGTATTGGTGTATGCTTGCTCGTTGTGTTGTCTGCCAGATGTGACCACCAGCTCGGGATCTCGGCCGGCTCACACAGATTCCGCATATTTTAGGAAGCAGGGTTGTTGCGGTTCGTGCGTGCGTGCTTGATCTGGCAAGTCTGTTTATCTTGCACGTAGAGGAAATGACTTATATTCAGCCCTTCCGAATTCATGACTTACCCCACAAACTCCATTTCACCTTGCCTTGTTTAATTTCCGCAATGTTTTTTTAGAAGGGTAATATGTTACACAACTCTGCAGTACCCAGAGCCTGTCCATGGTTTTGAGAATATTTTGCGGTTATTTACCAGTAGCTGATATAATTAAGTCCAAGAATTCATATAGAATTTCGGGTCTTGCATAAAGCGGTACATTCCGAGGGATTAACTTCAAATTCGTGCATTCACTCCTCTCGAAAATAAACCTGTCAGGGTGAAACTGCAGCTCATAAACCGGAAAACACACGGGAAAGGCGGTGACCCATTGATGCGCCGAACCACTCGCAGGTGCGTCAGGCAGCGGCACAACATCGGCCAAACACGCGGGTCTGTGCTGTCGCTTGGCGGTTTTCTTGTCAGTACCGTAAAATATTGCACAATGTCATCCAAATCTTTGGAAGAAAACCGAAAAAAGTACAAAGATGAATTTGAAGACAATGATGCAGCATTGCCAGGCAAGGGGGTTATGGCCAACTGCCGTAACGAAAATACTGACAGCTGCTTAAATAACAAGTCCTGAGACGCCACACAGACGGATGTTTTCGGTGCAGAAGGAAGACATTCCTTAGAACTGGCTCAAAATTTAAAAAGACCCGACTCACAGTCGGTATAGTTGTGAACATATTGTAGTTTTTTTAAACAGAATTAGGGTGACGGAGCGAGAATAAGACATTGGCATATTTCACAACAACTGTTGAATGGTTACACACTGTGTCAAAATGTATGTTCAGCAGTCCTCGCGTAGGAAACAAGCAGATCGGCGAGCCAGGGATAGAAGTGCAAGCTGATAAAACCTGTATCAACAGTATCGCCTGGTGGTTTGATTTAAATGTCTTGCGACTGAAGCATGCATGGGAAGTCTTCCAGTCTCACATGACTGAGAAATATGGAATTGGGAGGAGCAGTGTACACAAAAATGAGGGATGATGTGAATGAGAACAGGAGAAGAGGATGAAAGTGCCGGCGGCAGTGGTGGTGGTGGTGGTGGAGTGGGAAGAGGATGCTTTTTAAGGTGATAAGGAGGAGGGAAAGGAGAATAAGGTAGGAAACAAGAGTCGAAGATGCAACGGGGAGTGGGAAATGAATTGGAAATATATGAGGGATAAAAACGAAGAGCACGAAGAAAAATTGAATGAGCGGAAAAGTGGTGATTAAGGGGAGTAACATCATTAGATGAAAGGAGGAACAGAATGCGAAGAAAGAGACAATGAAGACATTGGCGTAACACTTATTTTCTGCAAAGAACAGTGCGTTTCTATTTAATCATGCGCACTATTTTGAGCAGTGTACACAGTCAAAAGACTCAATAGCATTTTCGTTTGTAATAACTCACTAGACAGTGCTCGGGCAGTTAACAATGATTATTGTAGAAATTCGACATAATTTGTCACTTAAGCGCTTAATCTGTAAAGCTCGTTGACCGTACTCGAAAGGTTATGGCTTTGTGTGACTGTAAACCTAATCGACTTTGGCGTACGGCATATCTGCTCAAAGAAGCCGCCTCTCATTCGATCTGGGTGTGGATGTTTTTATTTCAGCAAAAAATGCATAAACAGACACGCTAAGCCCCACCCTGTTGCTTTACGCTGAAAAACGTTATCATTCCTTTTAGAGACAAATAGGATATGTCAGCGGTCCGACAACAATAGGGTGAAGGACTCCACCTAACTATGGGCCGACTGTGGAACAAATCATACGAGGATACTGGCAATGGGGGTTTTACAGGTGGAGCCATTCATCCAACCGTTGTCGACGATTCTCTAGGGATTGTCAGCATAGGAACTCCTAAGGGAAGTTACGCGTCAATTGCTGTGTCACGGAAATTGAAATTCAATTACATCACTGCAGGCGAGAAAGTCCGGTTTGTTTTAATGCGTGACTCTGAAGATCTACCTCCTGAAATCTTCTTAGGATAGCACTGTTGAACAGGGCGCTTCTGTGCTATAAGAGGTTGAAAGGATAATCAGTAAGCGAGACATGCTAAGAACAAGGCCAGAGAGGATTGACATAATAATTTACGGTTAATCGGTTTTCATCGGTTACTTCTAGAACATAATAAACCTAGACGTATAATCCGAACCAGTTAATTGACCAGCAGCCATTGCGACAAGTCGTTTTGCCACAGGTGCACCCTGGATGCAGAGGTATAACTATTGTGCGCTGGATGAGGACGAGACGGACTGTGAGGAGGAGGAGGGGGTGGCAGATGAGAGAACAGTGAAAATGCATGATAATAAGGAGTATGAGCTAGACTAGGTCGAGGGGCAACAGGTGATAGAAAACAGGGGAGAGGAGGATTAAGTGTGTGGAAAAGGCAGGATGGCACAGGAAATGACGTGAAGGAGAAGAGGAGAATAGGATGATAATGACGGCGGCGGGGATGGCAGAGGAGCAGGAGGAGGAGGGAGAGGAGGGGGAGAGTGAGGAGGGGTAGATGGAGAAGTAGGAGGAGCAAGCAGGTAATGATACGAATTGAATGAGGCTGAGTAAGTCTAAGCGGAACAGATGGGAGAAGAGGTTAAACAAAGTAGAGACAGATCAGGATAAGAAGGCAGGAAATCATGACGAATAGTAACATTAATTAAATTAGGAAGAAAAGGAGGAGGCTGGAGAGGAAGGAGAAGTGAAGAAGAAAGAGCTTGGAGGAAGGGATAGGGAGGAGAAGAGAAAGGGAATTGCGTGAATTAGAGAAATCTTCCAGGATGATGAGGGCGAGGAGACAAAGAAAATACAGGGGGGTGGTATAGTAGGTAGAGATGTCTGTGGGGGTGGAGGGGAGAAGAAAAAAGATGTAGAACGTGAACAAGGGGAAGGCTGATGACGAAAAGGATAACGGCATCGTTGTAACTTAAGGAATTGAAAGACGTAAGCTCAGGAGACGGCTGGTAATGTCGGAAGTAGGATAACGAGGAAGAGCTGATAATTGAGGGAGGTAAAGGAATAGTAGAAGTAGTGGTAATGTAAGTAGAAGTAGCAGAAGAAGGGGAGGAGGGAATGAGGGAAACGCGAAGGAGGAGGAGGAGGGTGAGGAAGAATAAAGGGAAGCAAAGAAGGAGATGGAGGAGAATATGAGGGAGGACGGGTAAGATATAGTGATTTGGAGGACCAGAAGAAGAAGATGATGGCCTCACCTGAATGAAGCGAATTTCCTGTAAAGAAGCATGACCCCTTTTCATTTCAGCACTATATATTGCTGCACGCAATATGTTTAATGCAATAAAAGTTTCCTCGAGAAGCAGAGCAGGTCTGCACAGCATTTTAATCTCGGCAATCTCAATCGGGATTGTCTTAATATCGAAAATCGCCGGCAAACCTGCTGACTATCAACGATGATTTGCTTACCGAAGTAAACATTCCAAAACAGTGTTATGGACTGTCATTTAATTGCCTAAATCAATCTGCAGAGACGTAATTACAAAGTTAACAAGTTCGGGCAGCACCCGAAATACTGGCGGAGGGGTCAATGAGAGCGAAAGTAGATGAAAAACTGGAAATGTTTACAACCAGAAGACTAACTATATTTCCTAATAATTTATATCTGCCTACTTTAACAAGCCTGCTTATGATCTCAAATAAATCCTCTTTATTACAAATACACCCATAACACACAGAAAAACTTCACAAAAGATTTTCCTCTTTATGTGCAAGGCATACAAGTGCTGCGATCACTCTACGTTTTAAGATATATACAATAGCAAATAAGGAAAATTGGCCGCTGACTTAGACAATAATGTTTCATATGTTCTTAGCATAAAGAAGTCGAAACCTGGGAGCAAAGGAATTGTTTGCTATTTGGGTTCTAGGCAGACGAGACAAGTTTACTCACAGTTTGTGCAGCGGTCACTATGATGCGCAAAAAAGAATATTTATGGTTTTTAGACATCAACAGGAAGTTAACCAGGCAGGTTATTTTTCGCAAGACTGCTGCAGAAATAATAGAATGCGGCTGCAATGACATTGTATACGCATCATTATTGGCAGCCTAATATTCATCGCACATGGTTGGACATGGTGCGATAATCGTTTAATGACCGCTGTGGATTTCTTAAGTGGCAAAACAAAATGACCAAATTCGACGTTCCTATCAAGGTATCAGGTTCCGGGGTGGTCTGGTTAGACTTTATTCCCTACCGCTTTTTACCCTACGCCGAATCCTAACCCTAACTCTAACCCTAATCGGTAAAGCTAGCGCCTGACCCCTTACCGAAACTCCAACCCCCAACCCGAACCTATAACCTTGACCCCTAAACCCTAACCCAAAACCTCCAGCCCTAACCCTTAGACCCGTGCCAAACCCTACCTAACCCCTCTGGCTGTAAAATAGGATCTTACCGGTCTCTCTGTCGTAGGTGGAATCGGGAGAGTTAAAAGTTCTATTCCACGAAATGATTCAGTTTCTGAACAAAAGTCTTCGATATTCTGTCGTCCATGGAATAAAGCAATTCATAAATTCACCGACGGTGTACAGGGGCGTACGGCATGCCAATTCCGTGTATTAAATGCTCTTCTTAACGAAAGATTGGATGTCCAATGGCTGAAGATATCAGTGGTCGCTTCAGGAAGGCAAACCTGCGAGAGAAAATTAGCACTGTTTTGAACGGCTCTGCAGGCCTTTTAGGAATTCTTAGGAGGGAGTGGGACAGGGTAATATTTCGTGGTTTATGTGTGAGGGCATATGGACCGTCTGCTAAAAGCTGGGATGTACATTGCGTGACCTATCTCATGAAATGTTGGCTGATATTCTGAAATGCGTTTTCGATTAGGAAGGATTGCGTGGTCGCGGTTGTGATACTGATTATCTTAAGGCATACTCTTATAACATTTTGGACTCGGCAGGATTTCGGCTTTTAAATGCATTTCTTGTCAATCTTCTGTAGAAGGCGTGCTCGGTAAAAAATGACTACTTAAGTAGCATGCATTTTTCCCATTGATTTTCGGTGGTCTTGGAAATTCAAGTATATTTTATAGAAACCACAAACAAAAATATGCTTCTTTTAGTCAATCAATAGAAAATTACGTCTTCTTTATATTTTATACTTAAGGACATAGTATAATTAGGTTTTAAAAAGTTTTCTAATTGCTGAAATATTTGGAGGCTGATCATTAGTTGCATTAGCGCTTAGTGATTACACTCTACAAGGTGCATGCGCTCCGCGTAAAGAACATCTCATATTTTTCTATGTCATTAAAGAGATATCATACAGAGTTCATAAAATTTTGCAATGGATGCGGACTATAATGTACATTTCATGAGGAGCAGTGGTAAACGGCCAGGTACGATGCTATGTGAATGGACGTATCGTGGTCTCAAAAAGTCTCATAATAAGGAACTTTTTTAAAACCTAATTATACTACTATCTTAAGTATAATATATAAAGAAGACGTAATTTTCTATTGATTGACTAAAAGAAGCATATTTTTGTTTGTGGTTTCTATAAAATATACTTGAATTTCCAAGACCATCGAAAATCAATGGGAAAAATGCATGCTACTTAAGTAGTCATTTTTTACCGAGCACGCCTTCTACAGAAGATTGACAAGAAATGCATTTAAAAGCCGAAATCCTGCCGAGTCCAAAATGTTATAAGAGTATGCCTTAAGATAATCAGTATCACAACCGCGACCAAGTAATCCTTCCTAATCGAAAACGCATTTCAGAATTTCAGCAAACATTTCATGAGATAGGTCACGCACTGTAGGTGAATAGAAATTGACGTCCGCAGTCAGTGGTTATGATGGTTTTAACACCAAAAGTGTAAATCATATGATGCTGAAAGTGTGAAAAAGTTACATATTAAAGTGGCCGAAATAGGAAAGGTCATTGGCCGCCAAGCCAAACTGTTAATAGCTGTCAGTTTTTGTGTGTACACATGAAATGGGGGAATTAGGAGGTGTTTGGTCGGAGTGCACTCAAACGTCCTTGCCCTCTAAAAGATGACCAAACTGACGAATAACCAGTTAAGGGGGAATAGGCTTTTGGAAAAAGCATCATATGAGGCTGAGACGGATTTAGCTCCTGTGGAAAATAAGTCATTGGTCGCATTTGGTTATTGAACTATTTGATCATGACTGCCTCGAGAACACCGCTGGAAGCGTCACTGGTCAAAATCAGTTGTGCACTAGCATCAGGACTCATAAGGTGCATCTCAGTAACGTCAATCATGTTTGTCTTGGCAACTTCAAAAGATGAGTTAGCTGTTGGTGAAAACTTGCCGATCTTGCTTTGGCCTTCAATATATCAGTAGTGCAAGCTAGTGTATCGCCAAAATCGGACTCTTTAGTAAACGATGTCAGGTTCGCCATGTTTCTCTTCTTGCATTGTTAATATTTTGTCAGCCGTGGGACACACGTTGTCTTGTATTTTCCGTTGATGCTTTCAGTCGTGCGTACTCCCTCTCTAACGCCCTGTTATTTCTTTAAAGAACGCAACTTGATATGTGCACCGCTCTCCCCATGGATATGCATTTAAGCCTGACGAGTCGTGAAACAGCTCGCTATTTACATTTACATTTAGAAATACCTCCACATTTTGGGTGCTGAGTCCACTGTAGTAATCATCAGTAGTGATGAAATTCGTTGTCTTTAATCCCTTTGCCCATCTCATTCCCTGGGAAAGGGTGCCGACTCTGCAGCCAGCAACATTATTGTTAATTTTTTCAGCAGACAGCGAGCAACCTGTCTCTCATGCACTCTCTTTGATTAAGCGCCTATTTTATGAAAAGGAATTGAGGCTGAAAACAACCGACGTAGTGCTAACTGTTCTTTCCTGAACTGACGTCATTCAACATGCAAGACGTCTTTCCCTGAAGTGTGCCATCGAACCAAAAACACCATCACGGATATTGACTTTCTCGGCAGTTTCTTTACTGCTAAACTGATCCGTTCTTTATCTTCCCTTGCCAATGCCTGTAAAACGGCATTAAATATAATTATCATTACTATTTAGCCAGTCTACATGAGTGACAGGTTATTAAGGAACTTCGTTTAATCTAAGCCAATGATCTACCCCTTCCACCGCCTATGCCATCCTAATCGCTGGAAACCTACTTTTTTGAATAAAAATAATCCTTCTTCGGTCTACTGAAGGGATCTAGCCGTTCTAGGATTTGAAAATTGTTGTATAAAACACGCAACTTGGACAGCTGCCGTCAGAAGAGTTTTAACGGTTAATGAGTAAGGAGACTGTCAGCTGACATGTGGTTTTGCCTACACACACAATATCCAAATTTTCCACGAATTGCGGCTCTGTATGTTGCCCTTTCTAAGATCTGCATATCTTTCTTCACGTCTATGCGCTCCTTCTCCCTGGCTTGCCGACTTTTGCCTCAACCTACCAGTCGATAGCAGATTACCACCTGGGGGCCGCATTTCAACGTTGACACAGTTAAGGCTCTGCTTCCTTAAATTAGCAATGCACGGTTATTGGAAACCCCATATTAAGGGGAACAAGTGCTAATTTTCACGGAGATTAATAGCAGTTCCAGATTAGGATTAGAGTTAATTTATGAGTTAAACTAAAGTTTACGACCAAAGTCAGAGTAAATTTTAGGCTAAGGGTTGTGGTTTGGGCAAGGGTTTTTGTTAGGGTTAACACGTGGAAACCACTCCCATCACAGTGTGGGATCCGAGCCAGGCGTTTGCGGCACGGCTAGGCGCGGCTTCGGCCGTGCCAGCTTCCAAATCTCTCTTGTGTTGGTTGAAATCCTGGTTATTGTTGTGTGGACCAGGGGGTGGGGTGGAACGCCAAGGTGAGGATCCGTCCGAGCCATCCACTTGCGGCCTCTCTCGTCTCCGGTCATCTTGACACCGGGCTCGGGCGAGGGAGGAGGAGAGAGTGTAGGTAGATGCTACGCAAGTCTTCCGGCACTATAAACCCCTGCGTTAGTCACCGTCCCTGCTCCCATTGCTGCTGCAACTGTGAGGGACACGGTGGACATCATGGAAACCGGTGGTCGAACTGTCACGTGGAAACATTTTCCCCTCCTATAAATTTTCACAAGGCCGTCTGAAATACCGAGACCCGTTTTTATTCCCGAATTGGGCTTTTCTTCTAGCTCTAAGATGTCGTAATTACCTCAGTCAATTTGTTGCGCAGGCCATGCCGTTACTGCCCCACTGGAGGATTATTTAAACATATCCATCTCTTTTAATCTAAAGGGTCTCTATGCGCCCGGCTGGAAATACCGTTTCCTTTTATTCGGCATCATGCGTGCTGCTGAGCGAGAGAAAATACAGTCGAACTCTTTTTTAACAAACGTGTTTTAACCTCGGACAACGAAATTTGATGTACCGAGAACGTTGCGAACATGCAAGCCTTGATCTACTGCGTGTCCGTCGATTAAAAAAAGGATTCGTTATACTGTTTAAGCGCGAAGCCAGTGGCACTTTTAAGTCGCTTACTAATTTTAAGCATGCTGTCCACCCCATACGCCACAGTCACCGTGATGCCTTCTTATTGTTTCCTCTGACACGTACCGCTAAACATCAGCCGTTGGTTTTTGCTAACCTGTTTGCGATCTAAGACAAGTTACCAGAAGTGCGAAACTTTAGTAAACTTATTCTGTCTTTTATTTTTGTTACTAGACTCCCACCTTCTCTGTTGTACAACGTGCTTCGGCTATGCGACCCACACTTGGAGACGCACCTTATGCACATGCATACAGTGGGTGAGTTGGCTCACGAAAGGTCAACCAGAATTCCAAAATACGTTTTTGTTGCAAGATGATTTATCAAGTAGAGTTTTTAAACTAATCATCTTGAAGCATAATTCTATGATAATTCAGTTATCTCAGGATGCGACTTTTGGATGGACTTCTTTCCGTTTGTATACGAAAACTGTACTCTGTAAAAAATGCCTACTTATGCACTTTGCATTTTTCCTATTGATTTTCGATACCCTTGAAATTAATTATATTTCGCGGAAACATGCATAAAAGTATTCAATTTTTTGCTCATTCGGCATAACGTTATGCCTTCTTCTAAGTCTACCCTTGAGGGAAGAGTATAATCCGAAAATGTCCTAATTGTGAGACTGTTTAATACTGTAAAATGACCGCTCATAAAGCGTCATGTTTCCGAATGTATCTATGTGACTTGTAAATTTTACAAAACAGTTCAAATCCACTAGTAAATTTCATGAAACCCATATAGTCTCCTCTTAATACCGTAGAGAGAGATGTATGGTATTCCGTACGCGGAAATATATGGCTTTAATTTGGAAATCCCAAATGCAAGTGTATCGATAGACCGGGTTCAAATTTACTCGGGAATTGGAGAGGATATTGAAAACCGATTTATACTCTTTCTTCAAGTATAAAAGTGAAGGGAGAAGTAATTTCCTACCGAATGAGCAAACACATTATTGTTTTATATATGTTTTCCATGACGTATACTAGAATTTTAAGGGCTTTGAAAATCAGTGAGAAAAAGGCGTGAACTTTAAGCATTTATGTATTTATTTATTTAAGCCATTTTTTACAGACTGCGGTTCATGCATGCAGCCGGAAAGATGTTCGTTCGAAAGTCGCATCCTGATGTAAGTGAATTTTTCGTGAAAGTGAGATCGCTGTCATCGCTGCGTTTGCAATCTGGTGATTTGATACTGGAGGTGATGCGCAAACGTCGGCAAGTTCAACGTGGATCAAACTCGCAATATCGACACTCCGACATGATATACAAATAGCCAAATTAAAAGCTGACTGAGAATGCGCGTCCCGGCAAAAGAGTGAAAAGAGGACGCGTTCGCTGGAACAAGTACTTGAATAATCTGAAGTTTCACTCATGCACAAATTACATCATAAACGCACGGAAACTGAGCTAGGGGTTTCGCTCACCATTCACGTTGCAGGACACGCTCGTCCCATTTTTCCTTGGGGCTCAATCTAGATCCCTTGCAGCCAGTCAAAAACAAGGGAGACCGCAATGGCTATGTTTGGCTCACTGGCCGTCATCAGCCAGTCCTACCCAATCCAGGCGTGGACCACCTGGGATTCGAACTGAGGATCTTTGGTCATTGCGTCGAACGCTCTACTAATGAGCCAGAGGCTCGTTGGCCTGTCGGTTGTGACCGGTGAGCGACACTTCCGAGAACACCTGACAATGTGATTTACCATTTAGTCGACTGTTTATTCGGCAACATATTACTATTAATAAATTAATAGCTTAATAATGGAGGAGACGGCCGAACATTGCTACTTACGGTGCACGCCAAAGTGTTTGCATCAACATTTTTACGGGAGACACATAAAAGCCTCTTGAGAGGCGATCGTGGCGTGCACTGGTCGGATGTTCGAGCTTCTGTACGCACTGTAAAACAATATTATGTCGTTGCAATAAAAGTCATTCTTCGCATGTTGACTCAAGTACACAGAAGATGCATCTTAACATATAAAAACAGAATGGCCTAACTGGCACAGATAAGGCAGATTAAGATGGTGATTTCTGGATTATTGACACTTTGCTCGTCAATACGTAAACCACACAGAAGTAATTGTCTAGCCTTAGTCTTTTTTGTCAACAAAACGCATATTGATGGTCCCGTGCGAACTAGGAAGTTTCACATTTGCGTAGCATTGCCTGCCCAAGAAATCATGCACTCTTTTAACAACTTTTTCATAGATAAAAATCCAAAATCTATTGTAGATCGAAAAGAGAGCATTTTATATTTCCAGTGTTATTTCATACATATAAATCGGGAATTTTCTTTAAAAGAGCGACAAAATGTGCACACGCTCAGTTGTGTGTTTGGCGCCCTGATAAACGGCTGTCACGGTTGTTGGCGAGTCCTTTCTTTGTCTGGGAAATAGTTAACTAAAAAAGAGTGAAAAAAACGTTTGCGTTATCATTCGTGGAATTGACGTTATCGTATTATCTGCATGCCGCTGGCAAATGCTAAGCATGTTTTATACAAAGCTTGAATGTTAGTTGCGACGATGACTTTACTAGTAAAATAAAAAGTGAAAGTTGCCTGGTCAAAACTACTTAGATTAAATTTACGCATTGTTTTGAATGCCTATGAAAAGATGAGCGCAGCATTGCAGACCGTAAAAGACAAAGCAAACGCAAACAAGTGTCGCATATGTCTAAATACACTTGAAGTTATTTTTTGTCATGTGGAAACAGACATCCACTCTCACCCAACTACGGAAAACTCGGCGCCTCGGTTGGATTCAAACTCGCTACAGCAAGTGGAAGGCTTTAGTACAGCCAATGCTCTAGCCACCTGAGTTACGAGGCCCCAGCAAGAGACATGAGTTTAATTGAATTTGGGTCAAGTTACTCACTTAACCTACTGCAGCGTCAGGAATCCACCAAAACTAATGCAGTAAGCTAACTGCCCGAGCAGGATTTCCTAGGCAATCTACATAGAATCCAGCAGATAACTAACAGGCTCACGTAATTCACAGATTTCTTGTAAGATTTTAATTAAGTCATATTGACCTGAATGTGAAAACCTCGGTGCTTCGGTTGTATTCGAACTCTCGGGAGCAAGGGGGAGGCTTTAGTACAGTCAACGCTCTAGCCACCTGAGCTACGAAGCAGAGGCAAGTTTATTTACCGTTGGGTCAAATTGAATGATTCTAAATCGGTCAAAACACATTTCAAAATGCGAAAAAACCGGGTAATCGGTGCGATGCTCACTAGAAGCAAAAATACGTCCTAGTTATCGGGAAATTCTTTAATTAAATGAAAATGCCCCATGTTTGTCGCCTATTTGCACTAAGTATCGGCTTGCGAAGACTTTGAACATTTATACAAAATGATGTTAAATTCACATGGAATTCAGTAAGCGTCTCTCAAATGCTAACCATGGTTAGACGAAAGCAAACAAAAAATCATATCACGTCATTTGTTGTCAAAACTATCACAGTATCGTCAAATGAAATACGTTATGTTGTTCATAATTCTAGAATCCCTCCAAAAATACTAACTCACTCTCAAGCGTTTTTGATATGCCCATGAAACCCGTCTATATCTTTCGCAACGTTCTCCTCCAATAACTACTCTCCAGCCTTCAAAATGCAGTGAAAGCACATTAGATGGCACATGTTACTCTGCTGCGCTGTGGACTGAGACGAAAACGTCAAAGAGTAATACTGATCCCCCCGCGTTTTTATTTATTAAAGATGAGCTTTTTCTTGATATTTGCTATCTGACCCCTGAACATGGATGCATGGATTACTTTGATTCCTCGGCTACTGAAATTTGCTAATATACAACACGTTATGATAATCAGTCTGATCATAGTACTTTGCCGAAATAAAATTTTAAACCGTATGAGGAAACGTAAAAACTTACGATCCCAAGTGACTGATTTTCTGCTTTCATATTTGTCATTGAGAAGACACTGCACTGATTCCAATTTTGCTCGCCTATGCTTCACTTTATGTGTGTAGACAGCGAATTCGCCAAACATTTGGAGATCTTTAAGAGAGTAGTATATTCCGAAGACACGTGTGAGAATATGGAATGACAGTCATCCTAATGTTTATCTGAAAACCTAAATGCACACTCTCTGTTGAAGAATTAATCTATGTTTTACTGAGTTTTTGTATTTTCGTCGAACCTTTTTGCCTGAATAAATGTAATGACCAATTTTCATTCACAGTTGACTGAGTGTAAATGAATGCGGACTCCCTTGGCCGTGTTTTCGCTTTAACTTCTACGCATGCTTTATTTCAAAAGGGCATTATTTAACATATTGGTACGATACTTTAAAAGGCTAAATACATTTTTATGTAGTATTTTGCATTTTCAAATGATTAAATGAACGTCAAAGCGCCCTAGGGGTTATATTCATTATTTTCCCGTTATGTTGTTCTTATTAAAATACACGCGCAATGTATGATATCGGGTAACCCTAGAAACCTGAATGCACGCTTTCTGCTGGAACATTACTCGATGGTTTAAGTACTTTAGTATATCTTTATTGCCCGAATTACTGTAAGGACCGATTGTCGCTCACGATTTACATAGTGCAAACGATCGCAGAGTCCTTTGGCCATAGTCCTCAAACTCGGGATGTGTAGTCCGTGTTTTGACATTGTTCAAAAACTTTTTTATGCATGTTGCTTTCTTCTGAAACTTTGGTGCGAAAATGTAAAAAGCCACACACTTTTAAAAAGAAAAGCCTGAGTTTTTAAGGAAAGAATAAAAAGGACAACGCCATACAGGTTCTATTCAGTATTGCTTTTTGTTCTTGTTAAAATACAGCCGCAATATATGATAGGGGGTTACCTAATTAATCGTACTTCAAACCGCATGTAAAACGACTTGTATTCCAAAAGTGCCTCCTTCAAAGGCCGAATATTTTGCCAACCGCTTAAATATACCTTCAGGGCTGCCAAGGGTCATTGGGTGCAGACGTTTTTGGCTTTCGTAAGTGCCACATGTATTGGTCTTTAACTTAAATTAAATGCCAGAAACGTCCGCAAAGGACATTCTAGCTGCAGAATTTGCGTTTTAGCGTCTACACAGGTTCCACTGCCTCGGGACACTTAAATAAACACAAACCCTTGTTAAATGATATGAACTGCGCACAGGCATAACGCTCTCTATTTGCGTGTTGATAAATAAATAAAAGCACGTGCTAAACTATAGGCAACAAGACACTATGCTTTGACTCTACGGCAGTGACATGATGCATGTTTCAAAATTGTTTCTGCATTTTACGCCGTTTGCACTGCTCCAGTTCAATTGTACCGGAAAGAATCTGTTCGATATTTCAGCGCAATAATAAAATAAAGTAATGTATCCTCGACGCTGACTTACGACATTTATTTCCGTCGTCATTCAAAGAGCAAAGCATGCCCAGGTCATCTTCGCAGTAGAACTATATGAAGTCACAAAAAGCTGGCTAAGATAACCTTAATATATAAATTTTCTAAAGCAATTTTTATAATGTTTTATACAATTTAAAGTCCTATCCAACCAACAGAACCTTCAAATTACTGTCAGTACTTTCTAAACAGCCGCATTCTCTTTTCACATCTTCTTCCTGTAAGTGATCATCGCATTTGCGCAAAGCACTGGGTTGCTTCCCAGATCTGCCATTTTGTTTTAAAGACCGTCCGCTTGCCTTCATACAAATCTACAGTATTTTTATGACAGTTGGACGTAGTTAGTCGTCTTAGTTCGTTCAAAACGCGTATACACATGGAAAGATAATTTGTGGGGAAGGTTTTGTGGGTGTCTAGTAGCGTTGGCTTAAGTTCCTCTGGGAGATTTTTCACCGATACTTACACTTGAGATCTTGTATTTGCTTGTATCTATGATCCAGTAGAGAAGTGCATACCGCCAAGTTCTGATTTTGTCAAAGTCATGGTAAATGAATCGATCTGAAATAGAATTTATGTACTTCTTATCGTATAGACAACTGCATTTTTTATTTAATTTGCGCGTGATGCCATTTTCTGATACAGCGATAAGTTGCGCAACAGAAAAGTGGAAAGCTAAACAAACAAATTTGCAGGCATTTGCATGGTAATTGCCTAGACTGTCTGCGATCACCTCCCAGTGGCGCCCCAATCCCGGGTTCGACAAAAGATCTTCTTGACACCAATTTACCAAATCTTCGGCTCATTGCATAACTACACTGACAAGTCCTCGCTGTAAGAAGGCAGTCTGTATGGATTAAGTATTCTCAATTCTATGGAATAAGTAACGTAATGTATCCCTTCCTGTAAACAGAATAAATGGGAACATGTCGCCCTCACACAATCAAAAACTGCTTAATAATGCTTGTGAATGCAAATTTCAGCGAAGATACTATCATTATTGTTTGCCATTTGTCGTAGTTGTAAGAATATTTAACGGAACTGAAGCCCTCGTCATAAGCCGAGTATGTTTCTAGAGAAACTACGACCAAATTTGTTTCGAGGGTCTGTTTACAACTGCAGCATTTACGCTGGTTAATTGTGGTCTATTCATAGTGACCAAAGGAATGAATACACGCTGCCGCTTTTCAAAACATTATGTTAATATTATGCGAATTTAGGTAACCGAACATTCTTAACCTCCTAGTTCAACTCCAGGAAGAAGAAGGGATGATGTTCCATGTAGATAAAACGTACTAACTTTAAAAGAAAGATCATGAATAATTAAGTATATCAGGTTTGTGTCGCACCTTTAGACATAGACACTGCCGATTCTAAAATGTATAAGAAGTTTCAGTTGCAAAATTGCTTGAGTAATTAAACCATAACCTTCTTACAGATAACAAAACGAGTACGGGTTGATGTGTCTTATATTTATATAGCAAAAGGTCGCATAGGGTTAGAAGTAAAAATTGTAATTACTCCCCTAGTATTCTGGACAAAATATTCGACACAGTTGACTGCTAACAGGAAAAATAAGAGGTGCAGCGGATAGCCATTGTTTTTGGCGGACTCAGACAGACCCATGAGACGTACCAGGCATTGGCAAAGTAAATTCTAGAATAAAACATAAAATTCCTTTAAACCTCTATATTCATAATGCAAGCGCATAAACTGAAGTTTAGAAAACCATGATAATGTGAATATTGGCAGGCATTTGTTTCGGTATTAGAGCTGTTCTTCGATTAAATGGCGTTGGAATAGCTATTTTATATCCGCGTTGGTAAATGAAAAAAATTATATGATTAAATGCTCGTGTATTCATGAACAGGCGACAAATATTTATAGAAAATGCACTCGTCAGTATGGTAAGAATTAAATGCTAGTTGCTTACCCGTCATATTCATCATTGTGGCGCAGGGGCCGTGGTACTCCGTCATCACTCGTTTCTTTTTGAAAAAGATGAGAAAATGATAATCGTCGGAGGGATACACTCTAGCATGGCTAGTGACAAATGGTGGGCCTCAATATGGACGAGTACTCTAGAGAGCCCGATACCTCTTGCTCATATAGAGACAGTTAAGGCTTAGCCTACGATGTGGTTAAGGCGTCTTGTTAAGCGACAGTATTTCGGGAGAGGCAACGACAGCATAGAATGGCTTAACGTGCAAACACTGACCCATCTGATTAGGCGCCAGTTGCAATGATGTTCGGTAGAATTTTCTAAAATGCAAGGAGATGGAAACGAACGCTATATTCATGCAGGTTAGATGCGTGGATTTTAGCGATGGTCTGACTGTATTCTTGTGCGTTTGAGATTTTTCCGCACTCACGGCCTTAATGCTGACCAAAATTATAACGCACATATCTGGTTAGGAAATATCACCTAAGCGGGATTGTCACATAAATTATAATGCAGCATAGTATCAACATATTCCAGTCACGCCATGTTGCCGGCCTATTAATTAGATAATTTTTGGCCGGCTGCGAAAACCATGCGTCAAATGTACTACTTATGTAGCTTGTATTTTTCCAATAAGTTGACGATATTATCATAAATGTAAGTATATTTTGTAGAGAAGTCGCACAACAGAATTCATTATTACACACGCTGATAACAAATTGAGCTTTCTTAAAGTTCTTTGCCGAGGAATGGGTACCTCTCGGCTTTAAAAGAAGGATGTGAATATGAGAAAATAAAACCAGTAAATGTTTATCTACAGGGCATAGTGGATGCACCTAACTTTGTGCTACTTATAAAGTGTGCAGAATAGTCCATCTGAGTTGATAAATTTATAAATTCCTCACCTGACCTTTTTAAAATCTCAAGTAATTATTATTATAAAGGATTGGAGAGTCTAAGCCCAAGTGTAATTGCAGATCGGGCTCAAAAATCTTTAGGCATCTGGGACGTATATCGCACCGAAATGATTTTTTTCTCGGGCGAGACAAAATGCAGGGTACATGCATTTCTACAACGTTGATACGAAGAAAAATATGTTTGTGCACACTTGAAAAAACCATACAGAATTTATAAGGACATCATAGATCACTGCGAACAGTTTTTGACATATGAACGATTTTTTACTCAGTTTGATTTCGCTGGCAGCCGAGAAAAACTAACTCAAAGACCGGCATCCTGGATATAATGAAGTATTGTGCGACTATGCTGCATTTCAATTAATTTTGCAAGCTCATCGAAGAAATATTTTCTTATTCATGACATGTTTCAAAATACCGACTGACACATCATAAGATAAGCCAGCTACTGTATTCTCGGTTGTATTTGCATTACCCTAATTACTTGATAATGCAGCCCCTAGTGGTCCATGCGAATCGTGGAACCCGACTATTTCTAGAACGAAAGACCTAAGGAAATGGTTATTTTGCCATAAATCAGACCCGAAGTTTTAAAGAAAACGATTCATATTAAGTGTGCGCAAAAAATTAATTAGCTACTTACCTAATTGCTGCGAACTATCGGTGGTGTTTTCTACAGTCTCTTCATTTTCTAACGGTGTGACATCATAGTTTACTTCTGGCAAAGAAATCAAACAGAAATTTGCGCCAGTCATTTTATTTCAATTACGCAAATTATGACATCTGATTTGACACCGAGCGATTGTTATATGGTATCACGTAGAGGTAGTAAACAAATGCGCATTCAATGTTCATTTATGCTTTTGTAGAACATTGACGCTCTAGTTTTCCCCAACCAGCCATACAGACATTTTTGATCTTGCTTTATGCAGTGATCCTTTAGTACGGGAAGTGATATCTTATATTCTGCTCGTGCGTGTTAAGTAGATGCCATTTCAACAACAGTTTGTCACCGGTATATGGTTTTCCGCAGAGTTCAACGAATGAAAACCAAGAGACCAGTCCACAACATTTCTTGCTTCCAAGCAGCACAAGTTTCCGTATCGTGATAAAGGAACGCGCAGCATTGGTCAGTGGGAGTCATGAACGGGGTTAACATTGCTAACATTGTTTATGGCATTTGTAAATGCAGTGCACAACGGCTCACCTAAATCCGGATGCTCGTTAGCTTCCACACTGAAGTTACCTGGAGAGGGGATATGTTGCCGTAAATCAAACCTACGTTCTTTAGAGAAAATACTTCCTATTGAGACTTGGTTATAAAAAAATTGATTACCGACCCGTTAGATGCGGACTGCCCGAGAAATGTTCTTCTGCTTCGTCCACATTCCACGAACAAGAATCGCTCTCAGCTTTCGACAAAGAAATAAAGCAGACAATTATGATGACTGCTTTGCTTTACTTACGTAGAATAGGTCATATGGAATCGAAATGGAATCACTGGTTTAAAATGTCATAAAAGCATAGTAAACAAATACAAATTCAGTGTCAATTTATGCAGGAAAGGAGGTATTCAGGCTTATTTCCCCTTAATATAATATGAGTACGTCTTATACGGGACGAGGCGTTGTGACCAATTGACTACTCACTTCTGCTTGTCTCAAATTATTCATGGTCAAACAGTGTTGTTAAATCGTTCTATTTCGGAGGGTTTAAACAGTTCTTTGAAGTGCTGTTTGGTATAGGCGTATTTTAACTAAGCGACTGCTCAAGGACTAAAAACGAGAAAAGACTGTATCAAATGTAACAGATGTACCCGGAAAGATGGCCATTTCCGAAGTTGCCGAAAAAGAAACCTCTTATCTCGCAACGTATGTCAGCAGGGTTTTTGAAATGCACTGGCGTTCGGTGGAGGGACGTTTCTGTTAATGCATTTATTTCCACCAAGCTTTTTGTTTAACACAAACTACCAGTCGCAAATTCATCTGTGTTGTTAGTAGGAATTCACATTGTCTTTATTCATTTATAACTTGTAAAGTCATTCTATACTACTTCAACTCTACCCGACTGCAGCTACTGCACCAGACTTTGCCATATATCTATCTTGCGCATGGACATATGCAGTCGCTACCTAAGATATTAACAATCATCTGCCTACTAAGGTTGATGAAGACTCACGCTAAATCGGTGGCATGATGGTCACGGCTTAAAAACCAATGTACTCATACACGTCTTACAGCGACGAAAATAAAATGAGCACCCACTCAGGCAGTTTAACTGCAAAAGGCACTGATTAAAATGCCCAACGAACGCGTTCCTGCCATATGTCAATCCCAAATGTCAAGTCATAGTTGGCTCGCATTGACTACCTCGTTTTACAGTCTTCCTCCGTTTTCAACCAACAGCTCGTGCCAATTGACCTTGCCGAAATAACTCATCCAGAATTGCAAAAATGCTACCGCATTTATAAAAAGGACAGACAAAACGTGTGTATAATGCAGCAGCATGAACTGGGGGTGTAGATGTCGAACACAGTGTCATGGGCTGTAAATAATATTTTGAAAATTGTTGATATTACTTCAAGCAGCTTCAAGGGCTTCTTGTGATGATATTGGTAATGCTCTCATTATCTCGTATTCTATACAAATAATTACGAGATCAGGTGTTGCGGACACACAATGAAATCAAAGAGGATTTTTAGATTTGACGCCGACACTTACCCTTCCAATAGATTGTCTGTGAATGAGAGGTCACGCCGTTTATCTTGCAGATAAAATTGTCAACCCAGTTTTCTGTTTTCTGCGCCATGATGACGATTTCAGAAGACTGGCCATGTTTGGTGTAGTCTGAACCAAATGGAGGAATGAAAATGTGGTCATATACAAATCAACTAATATTTCTGCAAATTCCAGATTTATGTCCACGAAGATCGATAGTGGGGAGTTGTTTGATGGTTTATGCGCGGTGGAGAGACCATCCCGCCACATTTCAGTTCTACTTTATGCAATACATTTTACTCAGCCTCCGTGATCTGCAAACTACGACCAAATGGCCACAGCTTTGAGAGTATACTCAAAAAGTATAAGACATTTGTGAAGACGAACGAACATAAGTGGGGTGCATTTTTCAAACAACAACCTGCCTAAGGTGCGTTCTGTGCTAGCCCAAGCATGCAGGCAAAATCGTACATTAGCAAATACTGAAAAATCGATGAATATTACCCGTGCGTTTTTAACCGAATGTGCAACACAAAACAACTTATCAAAAAGCCCTATTGTTTATTCTACCTCTGTATACGTTATAAAAATCCGTATTTTTGTCTTTATACAAGAATTAAGTGAAATTGCTTTGAAGAGCAATGATAGGGGCAATATTGCACATGGAACCATTGGTTTCTTGTTTCACTAACAAAGCGAAGGATCCGAACATTCTCTTGGCTACCCCATGCAGTGACAGTGTCGATAAAACACGCGCGTCTGGACTGTTAGGTAGTTTGATATCTTTTAACGCTAAAAATTAGACTACCATTGAGCGGAACGTTATTACCGACAAAGCCAAGGAGGACTAGAATGGCCATTTCCGGCTTGTCAGCCGTCGTCAGCTAGTCGTACCCAACCCCGAAGAGTGGAACACGTGGGGCTCGATCTCGCAACCTGTTAGTTGGAATTCCGACGTATCTAGCCATCGAAACATGGGCTCGTCAAATTTTATCGGGAATAAAGAATGGTAGACAGTGGGCTTCGCCCTTGTCTTTGTCGGTAATAACATCCACGGCACGGCCAGAAACATCTGGAATTATTCATCGAATCTGGTGCAGTTGCGGACAAGGCAACTACGTCGGAGAAACTGGAAGTCTGCACCGGACGCAAATTGTCGAGTACGCGGTAGCTGTACGGAGAAATGACAACAGCTCTCAAGTTGCGGCTTATTCAACGAGACCCGGCCACACATTTAAGTTCGATGAGGCCGAAATTATCGCGAGAGGGGATAATCGCGTGATCTGCGGGTTGCTTGAGTCATGGTTCACGGGAGCTCAACCTACCAACACGTGCAACGACAACCCCGTTCCATATTCCGTGCTGAGACCTAGGCTGGCCAAAATGCTTGACCACTCGGGGAG